AATGATAAGACCTTTTAAGTAGCTGCTCTTTAAGTACAAAGCATGGGACCACTCTGAAGTGAGATACTGACTTTCAAGGAGATACTGGAAGAACCATAAAACCAGCAAGAACAACAAATTGGACACGGGGTCCTTGGAGCTCGAGCATCTGGTCAGGGCTGCAGCCTGTGGAGAAGTTTGCACTTCACGTCTCCAATGCCCATGCTTACAATCAACGAGGCACCAGGGAACCGGCAGAGTAGCTGCAAGAAATGGTATTTTATTTAAGAAACAAAGAGAGAAGTTAATCTGTGGCAGACGCCCACAGAGTTGTCAAATGAAACCCCTCTCCGGATAAATCAGCGAGGATTTCAAAACCACAAGAGAGTGCTTCTGGGACTTCTCATGTTTGCAGGGGACTCCTTGACTTTTCACTCTTGAAGGGAAAGGGTTGGCCAAGGCCTGCTGGTCAAGAGCTGCTGCAACTGCAGCTGGGGAGACAGGGCATCTTCAGGGGAAAGGGCTGATGTTGGAATTTGCTTTCTAGTGGGACCAGAGAGCACTGATCTCTGGGGCGATCTGAAACTTTCATAGCCAGGTATTTCTCTCCATGTATTAGGACTTCTCCTCTTATTCCTTGGAAGAGGAGACCATGTCGACACGCTGCCAGCATCAGGAGCTGTGCGTGCAGTTTTAAGTGCTTCTGCAATAGCATGCAGAGAAACACAAAACATTGTGACATCTGCAGCAAAGTGTGGGTCAAATGGGCCTCAAGGGATGCAGGAGAAACCCGAAGAGCAAGGAACCAGTCTTGGGAGAGGCCAGCCCAGATCCACTGCTCACGAACATGCCAAAATTCATTGACAATGACAGAAAATGCTCAGTCCTAGAGTCAAGCTGACTGATGGCAGCGACCAGAGGAGACACAAATGCAGCGAGAGTGAAGATGCCAACCCATCCTGAAAGCTAAACGCATCCAGCTGGGCTTTGCTGATGCTGAGCTTCCAGGAGAAGTCTCTGGGATCACCACGGTAATACGTGCTGCTTGGGTTTCAAGGGGGTTTTAAAGTTTCCCCTTTAAGTCTTGAGGATGGACAGGCCATGCTCAAACATTCACGAAGCAAGCTTCAATGCCAGTGGACAGACATCAAAGCAGAAATTAAAACCGAACGCTTCAGAAAAGGCTTGAGTGCAATGGGTAAGAGACAAGCTGTACTAAAAAATACCTATGGAAGAGGGAGGGAAAAGCTAAACCAAGAGAAAGTCTGATTTTTGTGGAAAATTATTTTTAAATGCAGATCAAACATGGAACGCAAGAAGAAAAACATCAGGCTGAAGTCCATGCGATAAACCAGAAAATGGGATTGTCACACGGGTGCCATTTAAAAAAAAGATTTTAAAGCTTTTCACAAGATCAGCAAAGACAATAGGCTTTGGGGGACTCTGGGGAAGCAATGAAAAGCAGTCACTACAATTGCAGATGGAGAGCAACCAGTAAGATAATGCTTGGAAAACTGAAAATAACTCAGTACGTGGGGCAGTCTATTACTGGGTCTTGGTGTGTAAAAGCTTGCTGAACCCCTGACGGTCCCTGAAGACGTATGGCGGAGACTGGGGAGATGGGTCAATCACCTGCAGTCCGACCTCAGCAGAGAAATGACGTGCGGAGGCAGAAACCTAGTCTCCAAGCAGTGACGGAAAAAATGGGAAACAACGAATTTCAAATAAACTTGCTGGGCGGAGGGCACACAAATATACATTAACCATCCAACCGCAAACAGTTGACGTTGCGATTCGTGAGCTCAACTTGAAAAAAAAAAATCAATCCTCACCTTTAGCTACGGGCAGAGTCAGCTCAACTGACAAGCGGCATGGGAAACGAGCACCGGGACAACAGAAAACCATGAAGGAGGAAGAGGTGGCAACCAGGGGTGATATATGTATATATGGAAATGTGAAACATGTTTCAGTTCAGCCTAATAATACTAATCAGGAAAGGAGACAAAATAATTGAAGCTGGCCAGCTGGACTAGCACGGTAAAATAAAGCACAGGGCCTCTAACTCCAGAAACACAGGCAATAAAAGCAGAGAGCGCATATACGGGGGGAAGGGAGGTTGTGGTAAAACCGTGACAAAATAGGAGCAAAGGGATGGAATTCAGTAAAAAGAGGGGGGAAAAAAAAATTAAAGCTGATTATCTGCAAAACTGACCTCATAGCAGAAAAACTGTAAGCGTCAAATTTGGACAAAGTACTCAAGGACAAGTTTCAGAAACCAGCTCAGTATCAGCCAGAAGACTGACAACAGCGCAGTACATTTCCCTTATCTTGGTTTCTTAAGAAAAACCACCAGCCAACACAGCTTGTAAAGCTAAACATCATTCTTGCAGAAGAAAACAAGTCAGTAATTGGAAGCCAGGACATTCCAGCTCCATATTATGCCATGGACCATCTGACCAGAAAGTTTTAAGCGTGAAATTTAGACTCCAGCATGCAGAGACGTGACCCTACTTGAATCTCTGTTAGACTGCAGAATAGGAATGGGGCAACCCTTTTTCTAACAACTTCAAAATTCAGTTATCAACTAGTATTTCATCTTTGCAGGAGGACAAGAGATCTTTCTGAGGATTAAAAAAAAATGAAGGTCTGCCCACAGCATGCTTAACATCTTTGCATACGCTTTAGAAGAAATCTCCATTTATTCTTTCGAGGTGTGTCTTTGTAGTTAAACTTGGAGATTAGTAGATGCTCCATGAAGTTACAAATTAGAACAGAAACACACATGCATTAACTCAGGAAAAATGCAAAGCGACGAACAGGTATCGGTCCCTATTATCCCTTCTCCTACCAGCAATATGATTTACTTCTCAGCTCTGTCTTCTCCCTGATTTACCAAGGGGTACGTACATAAAAGTAGGATCTCATCCCTTATATGGAGAGCCGTCAGCAAGTACCAGCATGTTCCGATGCGAGGGGAACAGCTATTCCATAAATCTGAACCATGTTCTGGACAACAGCAGAGTTTACACAGACCACAAGAATTATAGGAATTAACCCCCTTTTGTTTACAGTGTTTAAAAAGAGATCTAGTGTAGATCCAGTAGTGTAAGGGGATACCACCGCAGTGACACGATCCAACTCACAGTACTGAAACACAAGCCATGCACATTTGGAAATGTTTTGCATGTTCTAAATATAAAAGGAGAGTCTCCTTTTATGTTTAAGTTCTCCTAATTAGGAAGAGCTGATTAAACTATTTATCTAGAAAGCCAGTAATGTAAACAAAAGCCTGTTTTCTGGAGCAGAGGTGTCAAGCTTCCTCCTCTTAGAGGGCTGATTTTAATTTTTTATGATTGTTCATCAACCAAGGTAAACGTGTCAGGCAGGAGAGTTACAGTGCAGCGAGGCTAGATGGATTTTTTCAGAGATCCACGCTGAAGCATGGTCTTTTACATTGTCTGAACATCTTTGTGACCGTTTCACTGCATTTATAGCAGTGCTGTTTCTGTCATCTTCTTCCCTTCCCACTCCCCTCCACTCCTCTCCTTCCTTTTTCTTCGCACTGTTTTTTCCCCTTCATAATTCTTCCTAAATCCATAACCCCAACATACAGGCCCAGCTCCCAATTCCTTCCCCGTTGCACCATGGACTGGGGAAACAAGCAACAGCCCGAGCAATATTATTTGCGAGAATAATATTCTCTCTCCCCCCGAAGGGCTTCACCCAGAAGCAAGTAGAGACGTGCCTCAAACCCTGCTCACTATCAGGTCTGGCACTGCTGTGAACTATCACTTTCAGCAGCTTCCCTGCCCACGGGTCCTTATCGCAGATCCACAGCACCACAGCCTGTGTTTTTTTTTTTTTTTTTTAAACAAAAGTTTAGATTCTGCAGCTTCTACATATGCCGTACAGATCATAAATACCTCAGCCAGAGGCAGCTCAGAGGCCATATATCGGACACTTCTACTCCAGAGTTCTAAAATCTCCGCAATGACCTTTCAGTGTTTCATTTGGAGACTATTCCCTTTCATCACAACACTTCTCTCTTGAATTACTTTCAGATACAAATCTAATCTAAGCTCTGGTACACTTAGGCCTCACCACGTTTATTTTATGCCGCTCTCTTTCCTCTCAACAGGCTCCTTGCGCCTAAATACACATATACATACGTTTTTCTACAAACGCACACACACATATACACATTTCATAACGGTATGCCAAAGGCGGCTGGATCCCCTGCAAACCACGTCTGACGTGAGATCAAAACCTTCCTCTGCCTGAGAAACACTTGGGACCTAAAAAGCGAAGGCAGTTACTTACCTCTGAGAAGAATGTGACTGATGTCATTTGTGTGAAACCACAAATATTTATTTTTAATGAAAAAATACTTAGAGTGTGCCACAGTGTCCATATATTCATTTGAATAGTAGTACAAAGATATGTATTTCTGAGAAAAAATCTTAACACTGTAGAAAATAAATGTGGTTCTTAAATTATGTCAAAAGAAACCAGTAAAAAAGTCATGTTTTATACACTGGAATAAAATGAAACAATTAGAGATAATAATAAATTAGAATTACAGTATTTCAAATATTTGCTTCATGCTTTTTTCAGCATTAGTTTCTAAATGTGTCACGCATAATACGCCCTCGGAAGCCAGCAGTCCGAATGGTCTCTCAATGGAACTGTGGATAACAAGATGTGGAGCTGAATAAAGTCCTAGAAAAATGACACCACCGTTTGCTATTTACTGGTACATAAAACATCAGATCATGGCAGTTTTAGGTTTGTATCTAACGTATATTTTTGTTAATGGAAATTAATTGAGGGTTTTTTTTTTTTAATCAACTGATCTTTTATACTTTAATGAACTAAACAGCAATTATGGCCATTAACAAGGATGTCACCCAAGCACACCGCACAACCGTGCTTACGGGATGCTACACGTTGTATTGGCTTTTTATACAGTCGACGTTAACAAGAATTTGGAATCCTTTCAGGTCTAATTAAGCACTGCAAAATGTTTAAAACTATAAAGTGCTTTTAAATACAAATCATTTTTGCTCCTTAGAAATAGGAAAAAACCCAAACATGCACTTAAACCTGAAACCTCCATGCCATATATACTGCAGTTCAACAGTAAAACATCAGTTTTGTGCCATTTGTTTTAAAATTTCCTTTCCCATCCCCAGTCAAAAGTTCAAATAGTGTCTAAATTGGCTTTGTCAGTATCTTCTTGGTCGTGTTTGTACATGAAGGTTAGAAGGAAAAGAGCAATATCCAGAGATGACCAATAGGCAGTGTGTGATGTGACTGCGGACCAGTATCTGCTCTCCACGAGACCTTCCCTGAGCTCGAAATCAATCCTGTGCTCCAGTTCCACTAGAAATCGAACAAGAAACAAAAGACGTTGTTAGAATTGTATGTCAGCAGAAGAAAAACCACCGGCACGTTTTTCCATCGGCTTTGGGTTCTGATTCTACTTGCCGTATATAAAACGCACATAATATCTCTGTGTTTACATTTAACAGTACGCTCACCTAAGTCAACTGTGATTTTTAATAATATGTACATACATTTTTATTCACACGCACTTAGCACAAACCTGACCTAAGAGTGGTGCTTAGTTCAGGGGGAAAAAAAAAGAAACTAAACCTAAAGCTTGGAAAAAGCCAGCATTTTTTTAAGCAGCTGTCTTCCTTATGGTAACTATATAAATACATTTATTTATGGTCCTTATGATAACTACACAGAAGTATCCAGCAAATGTTGAGGCCCCATTAGGAGACATTGACTTTCAGAAGGTGGATGCTCAGAACTTTCTGAAATAGATGGACTTCTCGCATCTTTAGTGGCTATACAAGGAGACTACACCCAATATTATAAGCCCTTTCCGAAAACCAGCCGTCCCTACGCAGCACTAGCCCTTTCCATTTCCAGATTATTCTGAATATATTTCAGCAGTTATCCTTTCATTTCAATGGCTGCTTTGATTAATTCCACATTCAAAGCAATTTTCACTGCATGTTTAACTGGGCCAATGGCTAACCTATTGTTAAGGCACGTTAGCGGTTAGAAAAATCTCTACAAGGAGCAACAGAATAAAAAGGACAAAACCAAAAGCCTGCTTAGCTACAAAAGCCAAAACCCCATACTGAGTAAAAAACGCAGCCGTTTATCAAAGCCAGTTTCAAGGAATTTTAATTCTTGGCTCAAAGAGCGCATAAAGGGAGCATCGCACAAACGCTGCCTCGGCAGTCAGGGCACAGCAGCACTCGGGGAACGACAATGCCTTCGTCTTTTCGCAGGAGCGCTGCGCCGCTTTGCAAACGCAGCGAGGAGAGGGAGTCGGAGCCTTCGAATACCAGGAGACAACCGCAGTCACTTCCACTAAGACGCGTATATTCACAAAAACCAGTCGCCCCGCAGGAAGGACGCCCCAAACGACTCCGTCTCCCTCTGACGAGAGGCCGTTACAGGAGCTTGGGAGGCGGCCAAACCCCACCACAAGCCGTGCGGCCGCCCGCTCAGAAGCAAATACTTCGGCGGCGGATTGCATCATTCAGCTTGCAGCCTCGCTGGCCTCCGCCCCGCGTTCTTCTTCTCGGGAGCAGGGACGGGCTTTCAGCGGAGAGGGATGCAGGAACCGTGCAGGAGGCCTTTGATGTGCCAACCCTCCCCCCGAAAGGACCTCATCGGCAGCTCCGCGATACTGGCTGTCACGCCGCTCTACTTTCCTCAAGTTTAAAACGGTCTCTGTCCCCAAATACTGACTCAGACAGGTTATCTGTTGAAATTAGCAGCGATGAACGGACAGCAATGTATCATGTGAACGCTATCATAAGATACAACATACTTGTGACTCCTTAGATTGAAAACCCCCCCGCCTTGCAACAGTGCCAATGAGAAGTTTAGAAATAAAATCAAGTATGAATTTCTGTAAAGGAAGTACCCATACTCTTCC